CATATCTCATACTGCAAGATTATCATTGGCCCCAGAAGTATCTAATGAATGTTAAGACATCACAATAAAGGTGAATTTCTTAATAGAAATTTAGTTTGCAAATAACATCTCTGTGAAACCTGCAAGATCAAAAATAATGAGCCTTTAAACTAAGGTACCTTTCTCTTCCAAAATGATTACATTAGGAGCCAGGGAATAGTACAGCGCATAACTTATTTGCCTTGCATGAGGCTAATATACATTTGATCCTTGGCATCCCATATGGTACCCTGAGCACTGCCAGAAGTGATGCCTGACCACTGCCAAGAGCAAGCCCTGACCATTACTGGATGTGTTCCAAAAACAAACAAAAAAAAAAAACAAGATTACATTAAATAAAGTCATTGAAGGGCCGGAGTGATAGTACAGTGGGTAGGGCATTTGTCTTGCACGCAGTCAACCCAGGTTCGATCCCCGGCATCTCATATGGTACCCCAAGCACCATCAGGAATAATTCCTGAGTGCAAAGTCAGGAGTAACCCCTGAGCATCGCTGGGTGTGACCCAAAAAGCAAAAAAAAATAATTAATTAATAATAAATAAAAAGGGCTGGAGCAATAGCACAGCGGGGAGAGTGTTTGCCTTGCATGCGGCTGAACTGGGTTCGATTCCCAGCATCCTATATGGTCCCCTGAGCACTGCCAGGAGTAATTCCTGAGTGCGTGAGCCAGGAGTAACCCCTGTGCATCACCAGGCGTGACACAAAAAGAGAAAATAAATAAATAAGGAAATAAATAAAAATAAATAGTCATTGAAAAAGAACATTACCTCTTTGGATTTCAAAAATTATGCAAGATGCTGAAAGTAAACTATAGACCGAACACGATTGCCACTCAATTCCTCTTTTGCAAACCACGGCACCCAAAAGGAGAGAGAGAACAGAGGGGAGTGCCCTGCCACAGAGGCAGGGTGGGATGGGGGGATGAGGAGTGGGAGGGATACTGGGATTAGTGGTAGTGGAGAATGGACACTGGTGGAGGGATGGGTACTCGGTCATTGTGTAACTGAAACCCAAGGACAAAAATTTGTAAGTCTACAACTGTACTTCATGGTGTTTTACTAATAAAAATTTTTTTAAATATATGCAAGAAAATTCTCCCAGACAAATGTACATGATTAGTACACCCTTGTCTATAAGAGCCAATATAGGGTGTAGGAACATTGTATGACTGAAATGCAATCATGAACAATTTTGTAATGCTCTGTCTCACAGAGATTCAATAAAAAAAAAAGCCAATATACCATATGGAGAGCTGGTAAACAAATAAAAAGATGTTCTTTATTACTTCTTATCAGAAAATTACAAATCAAAATGAACAATTAAATATCATCTCGCAGTGAGAACAGCAGTGTATGTCAAATAAAAGTCTGAAAACAACAAGTTTGGTGGAGATGAGGGTCAGGGATGGGGAAGAATAAGGGAATGTTCTTTTTTGTTGCTAGGAACGTTATCCGGTTCTATGGAAAACAGTATGAATATTACTCAAAAACTTAAGAACTTCCATATCACACAGCAATTCCACTTCTTAGCATCCAAAAACACACAAAAATAATTATTCAAAGTATATATGCTCGGGGCTGGAGTGATAGCACAGCAGGTAAGGCATTTGTCTTGCATGCGGCCAACCCAGGTTCGATTCCCAGCATATGGTTCCCTGAGCACCGCCAGGAGTAACTCCTGAGTGCATGAGCCAGGAGTAACCCCTGAGCATCACCAGGTGTGACCCAAAAAGCAAAAAATAAATAAATAAAATTTTAAAATAAATAAATAAATAATAAAAATAAATTTAAAAAATATACATGCTTGTTCCAGTGCTTAGTCAGGATACAGTGACAAGCCAGAAGCCCAACTGGGATGAATGGATCAAAGTTGTGGCACAGATACACAACGTAATACTACACAGTTGCAAGAAAAGATGTTACCTTGCAGTTCGCTGAAAGATGGATGGAATTGGAAGGTACCATGTTAAGCAAAGTAAGTCAGAGGGAGAAAGAGAAATATTGATGATTGTACTAATTTGTGGTACAGCAAGAGACAGAACAAGGAAACGACAGAACAGAACAATGACAAGCTCTTAAGCCTAGATTAAAATCTCAGATAAGCACAAAGCAAGGTGAAAAGTGAAGGGGAATGAGGAAGTAAGTTGTAGAAGTCAAGTTCATTGATTTGCTCGAGCAGGCCCAGTAACATCTCCATCGTGAGACTAGTTGTTACTGTGTTTGGCATATTGAATACGTCACGGGTAGCTTGCCAGGCTCTGCTGTGCGGGTGAGATACTCTCGGTAGCTTGCTGGGCTCTCCAAGAGGGGCGGAGGAATCGAACCCGGGTCGGCCATGTTGGCCACTTGTAAGGCAAACACCCTACCACTGTGCTATCGCTCCAGCCCGTTGTAGAAGTAAGTAAGTAAGTTACTGACACTGGTGGAGGGCACTTGGGTGGCCGGGGGGAGGCGGGGACAATAACTCAAATATGTCAATATCATAATTCTTAAAATAATATTTAATATTATCTAAACCATGTTATATGAACTATAATAAAATAAAATTTGGGGGCTGGAGCAATAGTCCAGCAGGGAGGACCTGCACGTGACTGACCTGGGTTCGACCTCCAGCATCCCATATAGTCCCCCAGCACTGCCAGGAGTGATTCCTGAGTGCAGAGTCAGGAGTAAAACCTAAGCATCACTGGGTGTGATAAAAAATATTTCCCAAAAAGCAAAAAAATAATAAAATAGTCATGGTCACGGTCATGGTCACGGTCCTCCTGTTGTTCATCGATTTGCTCGAGCGGGCCCAGTAACGTCTCCATCATGAGACTTGTTGTTACTGTGTTTGGCATATTGAATATGTCAGGGTAGCTTGCCAGGTCCTGCCATCCAGGTGAGATACTCTCGGTAGCTTGCCAGGCTCTCCGAGAGGGGCAGAGAAATCGAACTCAAGTCGGCCGGCCATGTTGGCCACTTGTAAGGCAAACGCCCTACCACTGTGATAAAATTTTAAACTCAGTAGCATTGTAGCACTGTAGCACTGTCCTCCCGTTGTTCATCAATTTGCTCAAGCAGGCACCAGTAACATCTCACAACAAATTGTGAGACTTATTGTTACTGTTTTTGGCATATCTCATATGTCACAGGTAGCTTGCCAGGCTTTGCCGTGAGGGCGAGATACTCTCAGTAGCTTGCTGGGCTCTCCAAGAGGGGCGGAGGAATCAAACCGGGGTCAGCTGCGTGCAAGGCAAACGCCCTACCCGCTGTGCTATTGCTCCAGCCCAGATTCTAATATATAGTATTTATTTATACTTGAATATCTCTCGCCTTCCAAATGGAAGGACACAGAGCCATGCATAACCCAAGGCCCTTTTGTTTTTTGGCTAAGGACTACAATCTGAAATATTCTCAAACACATACCAGAATTTTATTTACACATAAGTACCAAATACTTAACATTCTTGTACTCATGTTAATCCTAATTCTAGTACTCCCTTATAAGAAGTTGCCATCAGCAATTACAGCCCAAGACACTGTAAAGACTGACCTAAAATAGAAGCAAAACTAAGGGAATAAAGTAAGGTTAGTAAAACTAAAGTAATGCACAATATAGATTAGGGAGGTATTTTATTAAGTCCGCTGAAATACTTCAATTTTTCAGCAGGACTTACAATTGCTTTTCATTCAAGAAAAATATTTGTTCTCTAATCTCACATGAACACAACACATTAGAAGAAATAATGAGTAAGAAATGCATTTTCTATAAAATTATTAGCATATATTTATATGAGCTACCTCAGTTTCTAATTTTATTTTTCTCTCCTTATCTTAATTAAACTCAGAATGCCAAATAAATTATATATTTGAATCTCTGAGTATTTAGAATTTCATATCACAATAAATTCTCTAAAATTTTTACTATTCACTCGTGAATACTATTTTTAAGCCACTGAATGTTCTTGACACTTTTTTTCCCTTTATTTTATTTTATTTTTTTTTAAAGTTGTAGATTTACAATTTTTTGTGCTTTGGTTTCAATTATACAATGATCAGATACCCATCCCTCCACCAGTGCCCATTTTCCACCACCATGGATAATATCCCCCCACCCCCATACCCCCATCCCCCCTGTCTCTGTGGCAGGGCAATCCCCTGTGTTCTCTCTCTCCTTTTGGGTGTTGTGGCTTGACACTTTTAAATAACAACCCATGCATTTGAAGATCTGCAAAGGCCTAAACAGTTGGGTTTTGTCCTACAAATTAACAAACATCAAAAAGGACACTACTGAGATTATCTAAGAAACAAGAATAGTTACTTCACACTGTAAAATTATCACTGGCCTTTGGCAGCACCTAATGCGAACATCACCAAGAACAAATTTCAGCAAAACGATTAAACAATGACACTTCAATAAAGCACGGCTTATGTTGGAAAGGAATGCCCTTGGGGGAGTGGGGATGTCCTAAAGAGGGACAACAATGATCCCAAAGGGATGGGTGTTCTTAAAGCATAGTCAAACTAGGCTGAACCCTGTATCAGTCAGTCTGGCATTCATGGGGTCCACATCCTCTAGAAAAAAACTCCCTGAATTCAAGTAATAAACACACATACATTCTAACTGTTGAGATGACAATGCTATACAAAAGTCAGTGTAGTAAGGCTGGAGTGATAGCACAGTGGGTAGGGCGCTTGCCTTGCACGCAGCAGATCTGGGTTTGATTCCCAGTATCCCATATGGTCCCCCGAGCACCACCAGGAGAAATTCCTGAGTGCATGAGCCAGGAGTAACCCCTGTGCAACACCGGGTGTGACCCAAAAAGAAAAAAGTCAATGTAGCCAAGAGACTTGTTTCTTAACATCCTTGAGCAAGGACAAGGTTTAGATAAACTGTGTTCCTACTTTCTCCACTGTAATTCAGTAGCTTCACCAACACAACCGTGTGCCACTGAGCCCAAAGAGAGAGGAGGGCCTTACCTGTGAGAAGTTCAGCCCATTCAAAGGATGGCACTGCTCTTCCACCTTTTCCACTGCCCCCGTCCGTTTCCTCAGTCTCTCGGCCTCCTGCGCAAGGTACATGTCTAACACAGGCACCCCACGAGACTTAATGTCCACTTCAGTCAAGGAGTTGACCATGAGCATCACCCACACGGGCCTCTTGCGCTCCCAGTTTCCCGCAATGGCATTAAAGAGATAATCAGCGTAGAGGCCCTTCCCATGTTGGTCTGGAGTCATCCAGGAGGGTATCATGAGCTTGACGTACTCAAGGTGACGCTTGAGGCGACAGTAGATGTCCCTGGGCAGCACATCCTGTAGGTTCTCGCCCTGCGGCAGCATCTGACAGCTGGTGAGGGCCGAGAGGGTGTAGGGGTCTGTGAGGTCCAGCTCGAAGTACACAATGCTGCTCTGTTGAAAAGCCTCCTTGGAGTTGTCTGGGATGAAGTCCCATACCCGGGTGTACGGCACATGAATGGTGCCAAAGAAATAAGAGGGCGGGTCTCTCTTAATGGTCCATAGGAAAGAATTCAACTCACTTTGCTAAAAGGAAAAGAGACAGTGTCAAAGTATGTTAGGAGGCTACAGAGCCTGAGGAGAAGAGAATTCAAAAGCAAAATCACATTGTTGGGAGAAAAATGAACAAAACAGGATTTAGGGTCCAGGTCCATTCACCCACCAGGAACAGCAATATTCAGTTCAGCCCACATTTAACATCCTTTCCCCTGTTTCCATCACAATGATTGAAAATCCATGTCAGGAATATGGTTCAAGTAGTGAGGCCCTGGGTTGAATCCCTGGCACTAACAGCTGTCACCCCTGAGCACTGCTACCGCCTGACCCAACGATGAAGATGACAGACCAGTAGGAAGCATCAGGCTTGAGTAGGGTCCATGTCCACTCCAACAATTAACTCTACAACATGAACAGGAGATGCCCAAGGGACTCCAAGGGCACATCTGAGGGGCAGGTGAAGAGCCCATCTGTCACCTCCCGGGCAGACCTGATGGTCTCTGCTTCTTAGATTTCCAAGTCCAATACTCCCAAAGGCAGAGGCCCTCAATCCTGACTGCACACTGGAATCAGAATTACCTCTGGAGCTCTGCAGGTGGGAACAGAGGTGATTTTTTTAACAATAAGGTTATGAGTTGATGTTCACAGTTACTGTACCTTCACTACCATCACCAAAGTGCCCAAGGCATTCCACTCTGTCCCTATGTCACTTCTAATCTGCCTCTTCCTTCTCCCTGCCCCCCCCAAAAAAATCAGTTTTATAATCAAAGGCTAAGTATTTGTCATCACGTATTGAAAGTAGACTATGGGCCAAACATGATGGCTGCTTAGTACCTATATTGCAAATCATAACACCCAAAAGGAGAGAGTAAGAGAGAATGTGTCTGCCACAGAGGCAGGAGATGGGAAGGGGTGGGGTGGCAGGGGGGATACTGGGAACATTGGTGGTAGAAAATGGTCACTGGTGGAGGAATGGGTACTCGAACATTATATGACTGAAAAGTAACCACAAAAGTTAGTAAGTCTTTAACTGTATCTCACAGTGACTCATTAAAATAAAGAAAAAGTGGGGTACGGTGCTACCATCAGGTCAATCTGTACCTGTGAGGCAAGTGCATCAGCAGCCTGATGGTATCTTTAAACGTCTAGATACCCCCAAATTGCTACTGTGCCCTTGGCAAGACCCCAACAACTTGGGGCCAAGTTTACCAAGAAAGTAAATAGCCAAAATTTAGATAGGTGGAAGACACATCCACAAACCACCTCCAGCTCAGCTGTATAATTGGAGGTAAGACCTTTCTGGTTCCTGATCAAACGGCTTAATGGCCATGATCCCAGAGACTCAGAAACAAATCTCGGAACCCAGCAGCTTTTGGCAGAAATGTGTCCAGTTCCCTCAGTAGGTTACCAGTGCGGGGCCACCCCAGGGGAAAAGGGTGCTGTCCATCCGCCTGCTCCCTCTTGGTGTCTTGGTGGACACCATACTCCAGAGGCCGTTGGACAGTCAGGTTTGAGCCCGCGGTGACGAGATACATAGGGACTCATGGGATGGGGATGGAGCCAGCCCTCTCCTCCCCAGCCCAATGAGACCCCGGATTGCTGCCAACGAATAGCCTCTCTGGCTCCTGATCAAGCTGCTTAACGGCCATGATCCCAGAGACTCAGAAACAAATTTCGAAACCCAGCAGCTTTTAGCAGAAATGCGTCAGGTCCCCGCAGTAGGCTACCGGTGCCGAGCCACCCCAGGTGGAAATAGGTTTTGTGCCTTGGCCTGTTCCCCCAGCAGGTTGGTGGCCACCATCCCCCAGAGGTCATTGGACAGTCAGGTTTGGGCCCATGGTGATGAGACACTGGGGGGCCCTCACAGGATGGGGGTGGAGCCAGCCCTTTCCTCCCTGCCCCAGTGAGACCCCGGGTCACCGCCCACAAACAGCCTCTCTGGCCCTGATCAAGCTGCTTAACAGCCATGATCCCAGAGACCCAGGAACAAATCTCAGAACCCAGCAGGTTTTGGCAGAAATCCCTCCAGATTTAATTGTAAAAATTTTAAAATTCCAAAATTGCGTGGCCACTACTGCAGCCGTGCAACATCATGTGTTATTCATAACCAGCAATAGAAAATAAATTGTCTATAGTTGCCTTTTGGTAGATCTGAGTGTTGGGGTAAAAATCCCAAATAATAATGGTGGGTCTGGCGTCAAAATATTGAATGTGATCAAAGTAGAGAGAGAGTAATGTGGAAGTTATCTGCGCCACAGGTAGGGGGAGAGTGTGGGATGGGAGGTAAACTGGGGTTTTTGGTGGTCGAAAATGGGCACTGGTGAAGGGACAGGTGTTTCATCATTGTATGACCGAGACATTAACCCGAAAGCTTTGTAACTGCTCTCACAGTGATTCAATAAATAAATTTATAAAAAGAAAAAAAAAGTAAGGTGGAGCTCATGCCCAATTCAATCAGACTAATCAATGGCTGAATAAATAGAAATACTCCATGCTCACTTCGGCAGCACATATACTAAAATTGGAACAATACAGAGAAGATTAGCATGGCCCCTGCGCAAGGATGACACGCAAGTTCATGAAGCATTCCATATTTTTCGAAAAATTGTAAGTCTACAACTGTACCTCATGGTGTCTCACTAATAAAAATTTTTAAAAAATAAAATAAAAATTTAAAAAAATAGCAATACCCCAACATTAAAACAAAACAAACACTGTCCTCCTGTTGTTCATCGATTTGCTCGAGTGGGTCCAGTAACGTCTCCATTTTGAGACTTGTTGTTACTGTGTTTGGCATATTGGATACGTCATGGGTAGCTTGCCTGGCTTTGCCGTGCGGGCGAGATACTCTCAGTAGCTTGCCAGGCTCTCCGAGAGGGGCAGAGCATCGAACCCAGCTTGGCCGGGCTGGCTGCGTGTAAGGCAAATGCATTAAAATTAAAAATAAATAAATAAATAAAATAAAGGAAAGAAATTGTCATCATTCACTACTGTCTATTCCCTTGTTTAGTTTCTCTAGACAGAAGATGAATGAGAATATCTGGTATGGGTCTTCTTCTCACTCACTTCACTTAACATCAACCCCTCCAGGTTCTGGCCAGGTTGCAGTGAACTGCTTGATTTCATCTTTCAGAAGTGATATTTTTAAAGATCCCCTGGTGGTTCCAACCTGCCAGTGCAGCTGACACCACAGTCTTCAGATGCCTCTGATTTCACAGTTCATTCCAATCTGTTTCGGTTGTGGATGATCCTGTGCATTTCTTTCTTAGAAAACACTCCTGGTTCCACTGCCAAGAATGGAATGGTGCTTCCTGGACTCTCCCCACAGGGCTGGGGTCCTGCACATCCACTTGATGCCAGTTTCCTCTTTGACACTGAGTGTCTCTCGTCTCAACAGCAGGCATTTATAAAGTGTCCATCAATTAAGAGACTACTGTGCTGAGCCCAGAGAATGCACCCCACCCCACACTGCCACGTTGACTCTAGTAAACCCCCCATAGCACTGAAGCCTCAGGTATGAGCACAGACCACCAGACCCAAAACCATCAGGCTGAGTATTGTTGAGAGACACCCCAAAAGAGACACTGTTCAGAGAATTACACTGGACAAGCTTCACTGAATTCAAGTGGAGTAAATCACGCATGAAGAAACCCAGAAATGTGAACATCCAGATTTACAGGAAAGAAGCCTTGGAACACATTTCCTTTACAAAAAACTTGAATTCAGTTGCCTTTTAAATAACACTCTTCCCTGGATTGTGACATTTCCATTTATAATCAGTTCTCAGGCTGGAGAGATTGTGCAGTGGATAAGGTGTTCATTTTTCATGCAGCTGACCTGAGTTCAATTCCCTAGATCCCATATGGTGCTCTGACCACCACTGGGAATAATCCCTGAGCACAAAGCCAGGAGCAGTCTCTGAGCACAGCCAGCTGTGACACAAAAACAAAAATATAATCAAGTCTCATTATTTATCATAATTACAGTAATAGGGTCACTATGACCAAGGAATTACCAAATACTGAACCATTGTTTCTAGGGGAAATACAACTTTGAGTTTCTGGTCACCATGGGGGTTTTTATTTGCCAACAAGCAATGCATACTCTTACTTCATGTAAAATGTTTCTATTGAAATGTCCCTTACTTAAAACATTTTGGTGGTGCTGGAGTGATAGCACAGCAGGTAGGGAGTTTGCCTTGCATGTGGCCTTCCCAGGTTCAATTCCCAGCATCCCATATGGTCCCCCGAGCACAGCCAAGAGTAATTCCTGATTGCATGAACCAGGAGTAACCTCTATGCATCTCTGGGTGTGACTCAAAAAAAATTGGTGATTCATTCATGTTGAATTCACAGTTAACAACACTCAAACTCATGTCTGAATGAGCTTATCAAATAACTTTTCTCCATAAGGCATATCATAGGCTCTGATACTAAAGGATACTGGATCACACTTCAACTCTAATGAAAAGGCCATCTCTTAAACAGTGAGGCCACCAACAAAAGCACAAAAACACAAACAGGGAGCTAAGTACACTACAAAGGACACTTTTTTTCATTTTTTATAATTTTATTTATTGAATCACCGTGAGAGCAGTTACAAAGCTTTCGGGTCTAAGTTTCAGTCATACAATGAAACACCTGTACCTTCACCAGTGCCCATTCTCCACCACCAAAAACCCTAGTATACCCCCATCCCACACCCTCACCCCTACCTGTGGGGCAGATGATTTCCACATTACTCTCTCTCTACTTTGATCACATTCAATATTTCGACACCAGACCCACCATTATTATTTGAGATTTTACCCCAACACTCAGATCTGCTGAAAAGGTAACAGTAGACAATTTGTGTTCTATTGCTGGTTATGAATAACATATGATGTCGCGTGGCTGCAGTAGGGCCATGTGATTTTGAAATTCCGAAATTTTAACACTTAAATCTGTAGGGATTTCTGCCAAAAGCCACTGGGTTTCGAGACTTGCTCCTGAGTCTCTTGAATTATGGCCGTTGAGCAGCTTGAACAGGAG